ACTGCAGCTCTGGCTGATATCTTGACTACAACCTCATGAGAGATGAGTAAAATCATCTAGCTAAACCACTTCAGAACTCTTGACCCACAGAAACTGTGAGACAATACATGTGTTTTTGTTTTGTTTTTTGTTTTTTATTGCTAAATTTGGGGTAAAGTGTTGTGTAGCCAAAGATAGCAAATATAGACATTAAGGTCTAGAGAGCTCGAGGAAGCCAATAAAATGTGTGGGTCAAAGAGCTCAAGGGAAAATAGTCGAAGTCCGAAAAAATAATGTTTGAATTTAAAATTTCAGAGGTAATGTAGTTTTCTTGGCGATAACAGAGTCAAAACTATGGTCATTGTTGTGGATGGCTGAGGTAAAGTGAAAATAAAAGTCACTGGAGAGGAGGATTTCATGTGTCTACAAGAATACTGTTGTTGCCCAGGATCACCAAATACCATTACATAAGAGCCCTTACATGATCCTAGGATGTCAGAGCTAGAAATAACATACCATTGTAAGTTATGTAGTCCATATAAGTGGACTTGATTTGTTTCTCAATATGTGGCCCAAGTAATGCCCATATTAGAAACACTTGGGGTACTCTTCAGACATGTCCCTACATCAGAACTAATAAATACCAATAGCCAAGGGTGAGATCCAGGAATTCTCATTTTATAAAATTATCCAAGTGATTCCCAAGTACACTAACTTTTGGAACATCTGGTCTAGCTCAACTCCTTCAAGCTTCTGCCTTTAGAGGCCAAGATCTTATTTCGATGCTAATACTCTCCATTATACAAAACTGCCTTTTGTGCCCAAAGCAATTAGTGGACAATTGGTAAACTTACAATAATAAATCAAATAATATTTAAGAATAAATAAGCTAAAAGAAAATCCAAATTCTTTATATAAAGATCTGGTTCCTGCCAGACTCTTCTATCACTTTCTGCCTTACTCATGGTGCTCCAGTAAGTTTATTCTCACCTAACAGTCTTTGCATTAGTTGTTCCTTCTGCTTGGAGTGCTCAGATATTAACATGAGTAGACCCACTTTTTACTCAAGACTCTGCTGAAACATCTGCTCCTTCAAGAGGTATTCCCAATCTAAAGTAACTTTCACCCCAAGCCAGAGACTAAATACTATAGTCACTCTCTATAGTACTTATCAGCATTTAAAATACTCTTAATTTATTTACTGTCTTAGTCAAAATATACTTAAGCTCCTTGGGACCAGGGATTGTGTCTGTGTTGTTCATTACCTCAAGCCCAATATATATTTTTTCTGACTTTTTAAATATTTCTGCCACGAATTGTGACATCACATATACATATTCTGAGAATCATACTTCTTTTTATTTTCATACGCAATAGTTCCATGTCCTATAGATCATTCTTATGTAAAGTCAAAGCATTTAATTGAAAAAAAACATGCCAATCATAAGCTTGCATATTTGTGGATAAGTTTATAAAAGCATTGAATGCATTCCACTGATTTATTCTTGATTGTTCATATAGGAAAAGATGAGTGTAAGGGAATTATGAATTTTTTTTCTATTTTTGGGATTGAAAAAGTTAATATTGTTTTTATTTATTTACTTTTAAAAAAAACTTTTATGTTCTGAGGTACATGTGCAGATTTGTTATATAGGTAAAGTTGTGTTATACGGGTTTGTTGTACAGATTATTTCATCACCCAGGTACTAAGCCTAGCACCAAATAGTTATTTTTCTGAACTTCTCCTTCCTCCCACCCTCTACCCTCAAGTGGGCCCCAATGTCTGTTGTTCCCCTCTTTGTGTTCACATGCTCTCATCATTTAGCTCCCACTTATAAGTGAGAGCATGTGATATTTGGTTTTCTGTTCCTGCATTAGTTTAAGAATAAAGGCCTCCAGCTCCATCCTTGCTGCTTCAAAGGACATGATGTCATTCTTTTTTTGGCTGTGTAGTATTTCATGGCATATATGTACCATATTTTCTTTACCCAGTCCACAGTGATTGTACATTTAAGTTGATTCCATGTCTTTGTTATTGGGAATAGTGCTGCAATAAACATATGTGTGCATGTGTCTTCATGATACAACAATTTACATTCTTTTGTGTTTTTACTCAGTAATGGGATTGCTGAGTTGAATGGTATTTCTGTTTCTAGCTCTTTAAGGAATTGCCACACTGCTTTCCATAATTGTTGAACTAATTTACACTCCCAGCAACAGTGTATTAGTGTACCCTTTTCTCTGCAACCTCACCAGCATCTGTTATTTTTTGACTTTTTAATATAGCCATTCTGACTGGTGTGAGATAGTATCTCATTGTGGTTTTGATTTACATTTCTCTAATGATCACTGATATTGAGCTGTTTTTCATATGATTGTTGGCTGCATGTATATCTTCTTTTGAGAAGTGTCTTTTCATGTCCTTTGCCCACTTTTTAATGGGGTTGTTTGATTTTCTTGTAAATTTGTTTAAGTTCCTTACAGAAGCTGGATATTATTTTCTCCCATTCTGTACACTGTTTATTGATAGTTTTTTTTGCTGTGCAGAAGTTCTTTAGTTTTATTAGATCCCATTTGTCAGTTTTTGCTTTTGTTGCAATGGTTTTGGTATCTTCATCACGAAATCTTTGCTAGTTCCTGTGTCCAGAATGGCATTGCCTAGGTTGTCTTAAAGGGTTTTTATAGTTTTGGGTTTTACATTTAAGTCTTTAATCCATCTTGAGTTAATCTTTTATTATGGTATAAGGAAGGGGTCCAGTTTCAGTCTTCTGCCTATGGCTTGCCAGTTTTCCCAGCACCATTTATTGAATAGGGAGTCCATTATTGGGTATGTACCCAAAGTAATATAAGTCATTCTACTATAAAGACACCCGCATGGGTCTGTTCATCACAGCACTATTCTCACTAGCAAAGACATTGACTCAACTGGAACGACCATCAACAGTAGACTGGCTAAAGAAAATGTGATACATATACACCATGGAATACTATGCAGCCATAAAAAACATAAAAAAGAATGAGATCATATCCTTGGCAGCACCATGGGTGGAGCTGGAGGCCATCATCCTCAGGGAACTAATGCAGGAACAGGAAACCAAATACTGCAGGTTCTGACTTATAAGTGGGAACTAAATGATGAGTATGCATAGACACAAAGATGGAAACAATAGACACTGGTGCCTACTTAATGGTGGAAGGTGGAAGGAATTGAAAAACTACCTATCAAGTGCTATGCTTATTACCTGGCTGAGGAAATAATCTGTATGTCAAACCCACTTCACATGCAATTTTCCTGTATAACAAATCTGCACACGTACCCAAACCCAAAATAAAAGTTAAAGTTGGAAAAGAAGCAACAACAACTACAACAACAAAACATGGGTGTTATTGAAATTCCTGAAATTTTTGGGAAATAAAATTGTTATAAATTTATTCTAAGCTTATTCACAATTTTAAGACTTTTCCTATTTGCCTGTTGATTATTGTGAAATAAACCTGACATATTAAAATCAATAAAACATGTGCATCAATCAGCTATGAACAAAGTTAGCTTGACAAATCTAGGTATACTATTTATTTAATATGCAGAAATGTTAAATTTGGATGAAGTTATTGACAAATATACAGAAGTTAAGGCTCAAAACCAGAAACTGTAATATTATTATTCATTCCTGTGGTAGACCACCATGTAGATATAAGTTTTTTCCTTTGAAAAATACATTAATGCAATTAAAACACCTTGATCCATTTTTTTCCTTTTTGGTTCTGTACTATTTATTTTGCATTTTATTTTTATATTAGCATATATATGTATGTATATGTTTATATTAAGTTCAATAAAAGAAAATAGTCATTCAATGTTTCTTTTGCAGCCAGTATTATTAGTTTCATTTCATCATTATTTCTTAAAACAATTTTGTCATTTACAGGATAGTTCTGTTAAAAAAGGATCTGTTTTCGGTATGAAATGTGATAGGTATCAACTAATGCCTAGTATATAGTTTGTACTTAATAAATATTTGTTGACTGAATGAATGAATACATGAATTAATATTGGGACTGTTAATGGGCATATTATGAGCATCCTCTTTCCTGAGAATCCTTCATGGAGGCCTACGGAAGACCTTGCTCCTGTTGTGAATACGGCAACATACCCTTAGTATATTCTCCTGATAGTACCAAAATCATCCTTTAAAAATGTAAATTAGATCACATGACACCTTTGCTCAAAATCCTGCAATGATTTCCCATCTTATTCAGCATAAAATCCAAATTTATTTTGGCAGCACGAAAGCCCTTACGCTGCATTACTTCGCTACCTCTGAAATTATTGCTCCAGCCTCACTGGCCTTTTTCATTGCTGTTCCTTCCGTATGCAACCCTCTTCTCTAAATTCCTTCCGGACTTTTATCACATGAGCTTATCAGAGAGTCTTTCTCTCATTTATATAAACCAGTAAACTCCCACCTCATTCCCACAGTTTTATTTTCCTTCATAGCATTTGTCTCTTTTACTCCTGGAATCATAAGCTCTATGAGGAAGCCACTATGTTTTGTCTGTGCCCCGAACAACTGCCTGGCATAGAGTAAGCTCTCCGTGACATAGTTTTAGAATGAATGAACTTACTCATGTTTCGCAGAGGTAATAACTTCTTTTTCTGACTATATAATTAATTATTAAAGCAGCTACACTTGGGTATTAAGTCCTTATGTAGACATATCACATATGCCTGAAACAAAATAATTAAAAGTTCTGCACCCAGGAAAATAACTCCCACCTAGACTATGGATAATATTCTGAAAGGCTTTATCTGGGACCGGGAGGGGCAACCACAAGGGTGAACAGTTTCTCCGGAAGACAGCCGACCAAAACTGCAGCAGTTGCCGAGGCCGCTGGAGGAGGGCGGAGAAAAGGCGGTAACTGGCAGGTAACAGCAGTTGCCACGGCCGCCGGAGGAGGGCGGAGAAAAGGCGGTAACTGGCAGGCAACGGGCGTAACGGGGCGGGGCTGTCGGAAGGGGAGCCTAGTCGAACTGATTTGTCCCTCTCCGCTCTCCGTCTGAAAACCTTGGCGGAAAGGGTCGTAGACATGGCGGCCATCAGGGTAAGCGAAAACGAACTTGCTTAATTTCTGTGGTTGCCGATAGCATCCCGGTAACTGTAAAAGGGATCCTACTAACTTCTGAAGGAGCCCCGGAGCAAGGGGCGGGGTGGAGGTGGGTTTTGACATAATTACAATCTTTATTGTTTGAAGCCTCAAGACACCTGCCTTTCCCCATTAGGGTTTTATCAGCCTGGGACACTGCTTCCTCAATCCCCTTCGGTTGTCGATTTACACAGTGGCACAATATAAAACTGGGAAACGGCTGGGTGAAAATGGTTGGCCAGGCGACGAGCCGCAGTAGATGTTTCGGTCTTGAGCTGCAATAAAGAGAGAGAAAAAAAAATCCTGGGCATTTGTCCCGGCGCACAGGGCAAGGCCTCATGACCCTATGGAAGGACTTTGTTGAAACATTTGGGGTGAAACTGAGCAGGATAGAGAGGTCCCATAGTCTCTCAGTAGTGCGCTGGTTTACAAGTAGTATTGTTGCTCTCTGTGCTCGAATAACCTGTTTCTTTCGAGTTTTACGCTTGGAAAAGATGCCTTTACTTGGGAATCCGTGTACAGTGAGTGACTCAGCTGGCTGCTTGCTGCAGTTCCCTAAGTAGTGTTTAATAATGGTAGTCTACAGGTATTTACGTAGCGGGTTTTAAGTGTAAAATATTCTGTTAGGCTTGCAGGAGATACAATATGAATAATTCAGTTTTGCTGAAGTTTAAGTCGGCAGCGTCTGCAGTTCTGGTTCTCATACTTCATCTGAGTTCTTTCAACAACCTCCTACCTGAACTTGCTGCCTCAAGCCTGGCTCTCATGTAATCCGTTTTCTGTGTTGCCAGAGTACATCTACCAAAATGCAAATTTGATTTTTTGCCTCCCCACCCCCATCCCACCCTCCCATTTACAAAACTGTATGGGCATGTCATCATCTCCCCTCTGGGGTCAGGTCATACTCTTATGTCTAGAACACCTGATTTTACCTAGACTTTCCAGCCTTATCTCTTGTCACTCAGGAACCCTCCTCCTGTCGATGCTGAGCTACTTGCTTGACCCCTCCTTGCTTTTTTACGTGCTCTTTCTCTGGGCCTAAAGTGCCTTTTCCCATGCTTATCTAGTTGCATTTATAGTTCATTCTTTAATTCAACAGATATTTGTGTATAGCCTCCCCATAGGCAAAACACAAAAATGCCTAACAGTGTCCTTGATCTCATTTTATTTTTTATTTTTGAGACAGAGTCTTGCTCTGTCTCCCAGACTTGAGTGCAGTGGCGCGATCTCGGCTCACTGCAACCTCCCCGCCCCCCGCTCCCCCCGGGTTCAAGTGATTCCCTGCCACAGCCTCCTGAGTAGCCGGGACTACAGGCGCGCGTCACCATGCCCGGCTAATTTTTTTATTTTTTAGTAGAGACGGAGTTTCACCATGTTGGTCAGGCAGGTCTTGAACTCCTGACCTCATGATACACCCTCCTGGGCCTCTCAAAGTACTGGGATTACAGGCGTGAGCCACCGCGCCCGGTCCTCGCCAGTCTATTTTAAATAACACTTGTTTGTGCTCCCAGAGGACTCTGGGCACACTCTTAACCAAGCATTTATTCCACTGCACATACAGACTACTTACTTGTCTGTTCTAGCTACCTAAACCTTAAGTTCCTTGAAGACAGTAATTATATTTTGTATCCGTAGTACCTGGCACAAGTCTGATGTATATTAGGTAGTCAACATGTTCTACATGAATAAAGTGCCAGGCAATGAGGACAAAAGAGATTAAGTGGTGGAGATATAACACATATAACACAAATGATTGTGATTAAGAGTAAGGGGAGTTTCTTACCTCAGGAGAAGTACAGAGTGCTCTGAGGCTTAAAAAGAGAGAGAGCTCACACTTGGTTTGAAGAGAGTAAAGAAAGGCTTCATGGAGAAGGTCCACAGACAGAAGGAATGGTCAGTGGCAAAAAGCAAACCAGAATAGTGTGTTGTCATTGAAACTTAGAGAAGAGAGTTGAACAGTCCTTTGATTTCACCGTTAATAAGTTGCTGCAGTTATCATTTATTAAGTGCTTACTCCAGGCCAGGCACTATGCTAAAACACGTTACATGTGTTAATTCACTAATTCTCAAGACAGCTTTATGTGGTGGGTATTATTACCATTTTACAGATGAAAATTAAGGTTTAGAGGAGTCAGATTATTCAAAACCATGCTAATAAGAGCTGAAGTGAGCTAAAGAGATAAATAGAGTGGTAGAGGAACAACCAAGATTGTAAGGGGTTAAGAAAAGAATAAGGGATGGAGAACTGGCATTCATTTAGCACCTACTTTGGCCAGATGATTTACATATATTATTTTAGTTTAATCCTCTTGATGACCCTAAGAAATGGGTAATATATCCATTTTACAGATGAAAAAACGGAGGGTTAGAAAAACTGCTTGCTCCAGGCCATACAACCACTAAGTGGAAGAACTAGGTTCAAACAGTATATTTATCCCCAAAGTCTTTCCACTCCTCCATGCTTCCTCTGGAAAGGAGTTATACATTACTCTTTGGTGGTGAAAGAAAGGAACAAAATCTTGGAATGAGGGTAGCAAATTCCAGAAAAGGTGTCTTTTAATTTAAAAAAAAAAAAAAACTAAAAACAAAACAGGAGACAGAAGACTTGAGCTACTTTGGAGACAAGGGAAAATGTACCAGGAAGTATCTAGAGGGAAAGGTAATAGTATTTACAGCTATTATGTTATTGAATATTGACTACGTGCTAGGAATTTTGCTAAGCACTTTATGTGAATTCTCTCATTTATGTTTCACATTGGCCTTATGAGTAGGAACTGTTATTAATCACTTTTTGCAGGTAGGGAAACAGAAGCTTAAAGAGGTTGAGTAACTCCGAGGTCATACAGGAGTAAAGTGGTAGAGCTGGATCTGAAATCACATGGTTTAAGTCCTGAACCTGGACTCTTAACCATACTTTGTAAGACAGTGGTAAAATCAAGAGAACAAGTGGAGGGATTAACCTTGGCAAAGAGGAGACACACTTTGCTTCAAAGGCCAGAGTTGGTCAAGATAGAAGGTGAAGATACAAAGTGATTTTGAAGAACGAAGGAGGTCAAGGAGGGAGCTCACATTGGAGGTCTGTATCTTCTGGGTGTAAGGTCATCTGCTGAGAGAGTAAAATGTGCCTTTAGGAGTTTAAGAATGGGATAGGCTTGGAAAAGGTGTTGTAGGAATTCAGTAAAGTATCAGTAGACATTGAATAAAATATTAATAATTGCTGAGAAGTGAGGGCCCGGCTAATGATGGCTCTAGTAGTGATTTTCTCCAGCAGTGCTCACAGCATAGGGGAAGGGGAGACAGTGGGTTGCTCAAGTGCTGAGTGTTGTCAAGGTGAGAATGTTAGAAGATCTAGGGAATTTATCCAAATAATAGTCATCTACTCTGGATAAGGAGACAAACAAAGAAGATTGAAGTGATGGACTAGGGTACTAGAAGATTTATGGCCATAGTGAGAAAGAAGATCTAGTTCAAAAAGAGTAGGAGAATTGAAAGAGCATTCTATTTTAATGAGGGAAATTTCAAGCATTTAGGATCTCGAAGGTGAAACAATTTCTAATAATTGCAAGGTAGGGTAATTGTGTTAGAAATGGCTAAGATTTGTGGAGATCATGGTGCTTGAGAAGCAAGGACTATGCTGATCTCTCAGATCTTCTGAAATCAGGGGGAATTGCTGGAGGTCTGGCCTTCAATTAAGTGGATTGGGAGGAATATATAATAGTAGTGTCAAGTAAAAGCCAAGTTTCATTTAATGCCAGAGGTTGAGAGTGAGTTTGAGGACAATTTGGATATTGGCAGATAATTTGTTTGTAATAGAATACTTAAAATCAAAATTTGTCTATGATTTCTTGAGGACTTACTGTGTATCAGGTACTGTGCTAAGCTGTTGATACACATTATTTCATTTAATTCTCACTAAACGTCTTCTAAGGTAGGTAATTTTACCTGTAAGAACTGAAGTAGATCAGTAAGGAAATCGAAACTGTAATTATAGGAGGTTGTACTCGGAAAAAAACTTGCTGAATTTATGATTTTAGCTATTAAGAAGTTCTAGGGAATGGTAAATTCAAGATGTACCTGGGGAACAGGTAGCTATAAGACCCTCTGGGTTTATGTATTTTTTTTTTTTCTTTTTTTCCCCAGCTTTATTGAGGTATAACTGGCAAATGAAATTGTTTGATTTTAAGGTGTACAGTGTGATGATTTGATATACATATATTTTGTGGAATGATTACCAGAATCAAATTAGTTTATATGTATCACTTCACCATGCTGTGTATTGTATCCCTTGAACTTACCTATCTTATCATTGAAAGTTTCTGCCCTTTGGCCAACCTCCCAACCTCTCCCCTTTCCTTCACCTTTGCCCCTGGTAACTGCCATTCTATTCTCTAGTCCAGTAAGTTCAACTTCTTAAGATTCCACGTACAGATCTGACTTACTTTACTTAGCATAATACCCTTGAGGGTTATCCATGTTGTTGCAAATAACAGGATTTCTTTCTTTTTTTATGGTTGAATAATAACCCGTTTTTTTTTTGTGTGTGTGTGTGTGTGTGTGTGTATACACCACAATTTCTTCATCCATTGATCTGTTGGCAGACACTTAGGTTAGACACTTAGGTTGTTTTCATGTTTTGGCTATTGTGAATAAATCCTGCAATGAACATGGGAGTGCAGGTATCTTTGCAATTGCTGATTTCATTTGCTTTGGTTGTACACCTACTTTGGCTATTCAGAGTCTTTTGTGATTCCATACAAATTTTGCGATTGTTTATTTTTTCTGTGTCTGTGAAAAATGCCATTAGAATTGAATCTGTGGATTGCTTTGGGTAGTATGGATATTTTAACAACATTAATTCTTCCAATTCATGAACATAGGATATCTTGACATTTATATCTTCATTTTTGTTCATTGTGGTTTGATAGTTTTCAATATACAGCTCTTTCACCTCTTGGGTTAAGTTTATTCTTAAGTGTTTTATTCTTTCTGATGTTGTTTTAAATGGGATTGCTTTCTTTCTTTTTTGGGTAGATCATCTTCAATAGTGTATAGAAATATAACTGCTTTTTTGTATGTTGACTTTGTGTGCTGCAGTTCCCTGAGTTTATTTATTAGTTCTAACAACTTTTTGGTGGCATATTTAAGATCTTCTATGTATAATATCATGTAATCTGGGAAAAGAGACTATTTTACTTCTTCTTTTCCAATTTGTATGCCTTTCATTTCTTTCTCTTGCCTAATTGCTTTGACTAGAACTTCCAGTGCTATGTTAAATAGAAGTGGCAAGAGTCTTGTTCCTGATCTTAGAGGAAATGCTTTTAACTTTTCGCCATTGGGTATATTAGTTGTGGCCTTATCATATATGGCTTTTATTATGTTGCGGTACATACCTTGTATAATTAATTTGTTGAGAGTTTTTATCACAAAAGGATGTTGAAGTTTGTCAGATGCTTTTTCTGCATTCGTTAAAATGATCGTGTTGTTTTTGTCTTTCATTCTATTAATGTGGTGTATCATGTTTATTGATTTGGATATGTTGAACTGTCCTTGCATCTCTGGGATAAATCTTACTGATCATGGTGAATGAGCCTTTTACTTTTATTTATTTATTGACTTCTTTGTTCAACTTCTATTTTAGGTTCAGGTGTACATGTGAAGGTTCGTTACGCAGGTAGACTCGTATCATGGGCATTTATTGTGCAGATTATTTCATCACCCAGCTATTAAGCTCATTACCCAATAGTTATCTTTTCTGCTCCCCTCTTTGCTCCCACCCACTACCCTCAAGGAGACCCCAGTGTCTGTGGTTTCTTTGTGTTTGTAAGTTCTCATCATTTAGCTCCCACTTGTAAGTGAGAACATGCAATATTTGGTTTTCTGTTCCTGCGTTTACTTGCTAAGGATAATAGCCTACAGCTCCATCCATATTTGTGCAAAAGACATGATCTCATTCCTTTTTACGGCTGCATAGTATTCCATGGTGTATATGTACCATTTTTTTTTAATCCAATCTGTTATTGGTGAACATTTGGGTTGATTCTGTATCTTTGCTATTGTGAATAGTGCTGTGAAGCTACCCTTCTAAGTGGTTGTACCATTTTGCATTCCTACTAGCAATGAATGAGACTTCTTGTTGCTCCATGTTCTCCTAGCATTTACCATCATCAATGTTTCGGATTTTCACCCTGCTTGTAGGTATGTAGTGATATCTTATTATTGTTTTAATTTGTAATTCTCCAGTGACATGATGTGAAGCATCTTTTCATATGCTTATTTGCCATCTGTGTATCTTTGATGAAGTATCTGTTGAGATATTTTGCCCATTTTAAAACATTTTAATAGTTTTTCAGAAACAGGTGGTTTTAGGTTAAATGGATGAGTTCTTTAGTAGTGATTTCTGAGATTTTGGTGCACCTGTCACTTGAGCAGTTTACACTGTCTCCAATGTGCAGTATTTTGTCCCTTACCCCTCCCAGTGTTCCCAAGTCCCCAATGTGCATTGTCTTATTTTTATGCCTTTGAATTATCTTAGCTTAGCCCCCACTTATTAGTAAAACCATACGATAGTTGGTTTTCAATACCTGAGTTACTTCACTTGGGATAATGTTCTCCAACTTCATCTGGGTTGCTGCAAATACCCTTATTTTGTTCTTTTTTATGTCTGAATAGTATTCCAGGTTGTATATATACCACATTTTCTTGATCCACTCATTGGTTGATGGGCATTTAGGTTGGTTACATATTTTCACAATTGCAAATTGTGCTGCTGTAAACATGCATGTGCAAGTGACTTTTTTATATAATGACTTTTTTTCTGTGGGTAAATACCCAGTAGTGGGATTGCTGGATTGAATAGTAGTTCTACTTTCAGTTCTTTAAGGAATCTCCATACTGTTTTCCATAGTGGTTGTACTAGCTTACATTCCCACCAGCAGTGTAAAAGTGTTCCCTTTTCCCCCCATCCACACCAACATCTGTTATTTTTTGATTTTTAGTTATGGCCATTCTTGCAGGAGTAAGATGGTATGGCATTGTGGTTTTAATTTCCATTTCTCTGATAATTAGTGATGTTAAGCATTTTTTCATGTTTGTTGGACATTTGCATGTTGTAAGAATTGTCTCTTCATGGTCTTTGCCTACTTTCTGATGCCATTATTTGTTCTTTTTTTTGCTGATTTGTTTGAGTTTCTTGTAGATACTGGATATTAGTCCTTTGTCAGATGCATAGTTTGTGAGTATTTTCTCCCACTCTGTCAGTTGTCTGTTTTCTCTGCTATTTTGTTTGCTGTGTAGAAGCTTTTTAGTTTAATTAGGTCCCATCTATTTATTTTTGTTTTTGTTGCATTTGCTTTTGGATTCTTGGTCATGAACTACTCTTTGCCTAAGCCAATGTCTAGAAGAGTTTTTCTGATGTTATCTTCTGGAATTTTCATGGTTTCAGGTCTTAGATTTAAGTCTTTGATCCATCTTGAGTTGATTTTTGTATGAGGTGAGAGATGAGGATCCAGTTTCATTCTTCTACATGTGGCAATTTGTAAACTACTGTTTCGATTTCGCTATTGGTCTGTTCAGTTTCTACTTCTTCCTTACTTAATCTAGGAGGGTTGTATATTTCCAGGAATGTATCTATCTCTTCTAGGTTTTCTAGTTTGTGTGCACAAAGGTGTTCATAGTAGCCTTCAATGATCTTTTGCATTTCTGTGGTGTCAGTTGTAATATCTCTCTTTTCATTTCTACTTGAGCTGATTTGGATATTCTCTCTTCTTTTCTTTTGTTTAATCTCTCTAATGGTCAATCAGTTTTCTTAATCTTTTCAAATAAACAGATCTTTGTTTTATTTATCTCTTGTATTTTTTTTTGTTTCAATTTTATTTAGTCCTGGTCTGATTTTGTTATTTCTTTTCTTCTAGCTTTAGGTTTAGTTTGACCTTGTTTCTCCAGTTCCTAGAGGTGTGATATTTGATTGTCAATATTTGGGCTCTTTCACACTTCTTGATGTAGGCATTTAATGCCATGAACTTTCCTCTTAGCACTATTTTTGCTGTATCCCAGAGGTTTTGATAAGTTGTGTTACTATTATTCAGGTTAAAGACTTTTTAAATTTCCATCTTGATTTCATTGTTGGCCCAAAGATCATTCAATAGGAGATTATTTAATTTACATGTATTTGTATAGTTTTGAGGGTTCCCTTTGGAGTTGATTTCAGTTTTATTATACAGTGGTCTGAAAGGATGCTTAATATGATTTTGATTTTCTTAAATTTATTCAGAAGTGTTTTTTGGCCTATCATGTGGTCTGTCTTGGAGAATGTTCCATGTCCTGATGAAAAGAGTGCATATTCTGCAGTTTTGGGGTAGTAAGTTCTATAAATATCTAAGTCCATTTGTTCTGGATGTAGTTTAAATCCACTGGTTCTTTGTTGACTTTCTGTCTTGATGACCTGTCTAGTGCTGTCAGTGGAGTACTGAAGTCCCCTACTATTATTGTGTTGCTGTCTATCTCATTTCTTAGGTCTAGTAGTAATTGTTTTATGAATTGTGGAGCTCCTGTGTTAGGTACGTATGTGTTTAGGACTGTGATATTTTCCTGTTGGAGTAGTCCTCTTATCACTATATAATATCCCTCTTTGTCTTTTTAAACTGTTGTTATTTTAAAGTATCTACTCCTGCTCACTTTTGGTGTCCGTTTGCATGGACTATCTTTTTCTACCCCTTTACCTTAAGTATATGTGAGTCCTTATGTGTTAAGTGAGTCTCAGCAATTACTTGGTTGGTGGATTTTTATTCATTCTGCCATTCTTTATCTTTTAAATGGAGCATTTAGGCCATTTACTATCAGTGTTAGTATTGAGATATGAGGTACTGTTTTATTTATCATGCTGGTTGTTGCCTGAATACCTTTTTTTAAATTGTGTTATTGTTTTATAGGTCTTGTGAGATTAATGCTTTTAGTTGGTTGTATTTTGGGCGTATTTCGAGATTTTCTTTCAAGATTTAGAACTGCTTTTAGCAGTTCTTGTAGTGCTGCCTTGGTAGTGGCGAATTCTCAGCATTTTTTTTTTGTCTGAAAACAACTTTATCTCTCCTTTATTTATAAAGTTTAGGTTTGCTGGAAACAAAATTACTGGCTGACAATTATTTTATTTAAGGAGGTTAAAGATAGGACCCCAATTCTGGCTGTAAAGTTCCTGCTAGGAAATTTGATGCTAGTCTGATAGGTTTTTCTTTATAGTTTACCTGATGCTTTTGTCTCACAGCTCTTAAGATTTTTTCCTTCGCCTTGAGTTTAGATAACCTGATGACTGTGTGTCTAGGTGGTTATCTTTTTTGTGATGAATTTCCCGGAAGTTCTTTGAGCTTCTTATGGTTGGATGTCTAGATCTCTAGCAAGACCAGGAAATTTTTTCTCAATTATTCCTTCAAATGAGTTTTCCTAACTTTTTGATTTCTCTTCTTTCTCAGGAAGACCAGTTATTCTTAGATTTGGCCATTTAACATAATCCTCAGTTTACTGGAAACTTTGTTCATTTTTTTAGATTATTTTATCCTTGTCTTTTTCTGATTGGGTTAATTTGAAAACCTTGTCTTCGAGCTCTGAAATTCTTTCTTCTACTGGTTCTAGTCTATTTTTGAAAATTTCCACTGCATTTTGTTTTTCACTAAGCGTGTCTTTTATTTCCAGAAGTTGTGATTGGTTTTTCTTTATGATACCTATTTCTATGGAAAATGTTTCATTCATATCCTGTATTTTTTAAAAAAAGTTCTCTAAGGTCTTTTTCACCTTTCTGTGGTATCTCCTTGAGTAGTTTCATAATCAGCCTTCTAAATTCTTTATCTGGCAATTCAGAGATTTCTTCTTGGTTTGGATCCACTGCTGGGGAGCTGGTGTGATTATTTGGGGGTGTTATAGAACCCTGTATTGTCATTACCAGAGTTACTTTTCTGGTTTCTTCTCATTTATGTAGACTGTTTCTTAAAATTGTTCTTGAATCTTTTTTTGATTGGACTTCTTTTTTATTTTAAATTTCTTCTTTTCCTTCTTAAGTATCAGACTTTAATATTTATTTATTTGTGAGATGGAGTTTCACTCTTGTGGCCCAGGCTGGAGTGCAATGGCATGGTCTGTGCTTACTGCAACCTCTGCCTCCTGGGTTTAAGTGATTCTCCTGCCTCAGCCTCCTAAGTAGTTGGGATTATAGGTGTGCGCCACCAAACATGGCTAATTTTGTATTTTTATTAGAGATGGGGCTTCGCCATGTTGGCCAGGCTGGTCTCAAACTCCTGACCTTTTTTGTGCTTGTAGGGATGAAGACTGTGTATGAGATAGTTAGTTATAAAGAGAGCCTTTGTGTGCTGGCTTTCCCTGATGCTGGTTGTAGTAGTTATATTCGTGGTGTGTGGGTGAGTTCACTGTCTCCTATGGAGTTGGAATGGCAGGGATCTTTTGAAGGTTATCTCCTTCTCTCATGGCATACAATTTATTTTTTTACTTAATTTTTTCCATTGTTTTATTTACTAAATTGATGATTCAGTCTTCAGTCCAGTAGGTGAGGTATTCTTGGATAGTCACCAGTTGTGGCTAAGATAGGGCTGGTGCAAAGGTAATTGAGGTTTTTCCCATCAACGGCAAAAACCTCAATTACTTTTGTATCAACCTAATAATGCCCAACTGTGGGCCAAGATCCCAACCTTGATGAGGGTTGCTGGGGGAGCTCTCAGTGAAATCTGCTGAGGTTTTATCAGGGTGAAGAGTGAGAGCTACCTCAGCCCCCCTGCCAGGTCAGCAGGAAAGTTATTCACCTCATAGCTTCACTCCTGTCTTTGTGTTTCAGCTGCTTGGGTCATACAGACACATCTTTTCATGTATTGGAATGTTGATCTTCCAGGTAGGGAGGAATTGTGACTCTGCCTGTCTGCTGGCCTGAATGTGGAGTATGCTCCTGTTATGGGGATACACTCACCCTGGATTGTTCCAGCAAGGCTGTCTATACATTCTACTAGGCTGCATTCCTGTGGGGGAAGCCCACTGTGTCTTCAGTGGAGTGCTGGGGGAGAACAAGGTCCCCTTCTCCAAGACCTTTTATGATCACAGAGGCTGCCTGCCTGTTGGGGTATAGGTGTAGACTTTCCCTACTGTACCCAGCATTGCAATTGTGTCTCTGTTGTGAGAAACTACCCACTAGCAGAAAGAT